TATTTTTTAAATCCTCACCTGAGGATATGTTTATTGATTTTAGAGAGGGTGAAGAGAGAGAAACATTGGTTGGTTGCCTTCTGTATGCGCCTGGACCAGGCATCGAACCCACAACCTTTTTGGTGTACAGGTGATGCTCCAACCAACTGAGCCACCCAGCAAGGGCTTTTTAAAAAAAACAACAACATGGTATTGCAATAAGCCATTTAATGGTGTTTTGTGTATTCACAGAGTTGTATATCTAACTCCAGAACATTTTCATCACCCCCAAAAGAAACCCCGAACCCATTAGTAGTCACTCTCCATTCTCTTCTCTCCCTTGCCCCTGGCAACCACTGATTTATTTTCTGCCTTTATGAAATTGCCTGTTCTGGACATTTCATATAAATGGAATCATATAGTGTGTGCTTTTGTATCTGGCTTCTTTCACTTAGCATAATGTTTTCAAGGTTCAGCTATGTTTTTAACCTTACTTCCAATTCCAGTTTATCCCGTGAAGGTTCTTGATTCACCCGTACTGTGACAAACCTAAAAAAGTTCATGATTTGTTTGTAATACTTAGACTCTTTACCATACCCTGCCAATGATTAAAGGTATATAGTCAAATACTGTTGTTTTTAGGTGCTTGGTTTAGTTAATTCTTGTTATTTTTCTATACAGTGTGGTTAGGGTATTCATATGCAGTGTAATTACATTCATTTGTTTGCTTTCAGTTAAGTGTTTTTTTCCCATTCTTACTGACTTAGTTGTATTTGTTATTTAACATATGACATTATGCATAATAATGTTACATAGCATTATTATTATATATGTATTAGTAATTTGCTTTCATAGCATTATTTTGATAACAGTATTATATATTATAATAATGCTATTTTAACACCATTATTATTATATGTATATTAGTAATTTCCTTTAAAAAGTCAAAACCATGCAAAAGGTATATGAGATATGTCACTCTCACTCATATTCCTCCCAAGGTTGGTAGATGATAAACTTTGGATTCTCTTCATTTATCTTGCTTTGTACTCATTGGAGGTTCTTGATTCTGTGCTCATTTTTAATTGGTTTTGTAAATTCTCAGTCTTTTTTTTTTTCATATATTTTTCCTGGTCTATTCTCTTCTTTCCTTCTGAACTCTAATAAGCATATGTTCAGCTTAGTACTGTGTCATCTCTTCTCTTATTTTGTATTTTCCATTTTCTTTCTCTCTGTTTACATTCTGGAAGGTTTTTCCTAACCTATTACCAGTTCACTAATTCCCTTTTTAGTTGGTTCTGACCTGAATCTATTCATCACATTTTTAAATTTGGTATTTCATAATTTTTTAGTTTCAGAATTCCATTTGAAAGTTTTTTTTCAAATATGTTGTCACTTTTTATAGTTTCCAGTCATACACTAAACATTTAATATTTTTTGAATTTTTATGAGGCTTTATTGGAGCCAAGTTGACAGCATGCTGGGAAGCAAGATCTCAGATGCCGCAGATATGTAATTTTTTGAAATGTTAGAAATTTCTTTATTATTACTTATTAAGCACTAGCTTAGTACTGCAGACAAGTTCAGATCATACCTCTGACAACTCATTCTTTTGCATCCAAATTCTTGATAGTTTTTCAAGTAAAGACTTGATTCCTCTCGCTTCTGTATAAAATTTTATGAAATAAAGGCAAACAACTGTGTGCATCTGTGAAATGCTGCCCTCAGCTGTGGAAACAGTGTCTGCCCAGCTCCCTTTACTGTCTAGGTCCTGGAAGACTCGTGTTCATGAAATGCCTCTCTATGAAGCAAGTCCACCACTGGCTGAATTCATTGTTCTGAGTGAGGGTGAAAAACTTTCTCGTAGTCTCAGTCCAGTCTCTTGCCTTAACTGTTGTAAATAGACCCTTATTACTTCATCTTCCTGTTTGTTTGCAGGTTTGGCATAAATTGTGTTAAGCGAAATATCAGGCTCTCCAAGAATGGTAAAATTAGTAGTACCCAGTGTATGCACTTCACCCTTACTTAGGCTTTTGGAATTGTACCTTTGGAGCTTCTTTAGACCCCCAGATATGTAGTTATATATACCAAGATCCTGTCAGCTTCATTCTTAACTTCATACTGAAAAACACATTGGCCTTGAAGTAACAGATGGCTTCGTCTACAACATCTGTATTTTGTATCTCTCTGGGGTGGCTCCTTTGAACTGACTTCTGATAGGCAACAGTGCTAGGTTTCCAGTGAGTTTGGTGTCCGAGTCCATGAGAGAAGAGTGGTAAACTGGCATCTTGGTGGCGCTTCTGGTCTGTTGGCTCAGGCGTGTGTGGTAGGCAGATCTAAATATTAATTAATGAGCTTTGGTTTAAGAATCAAAAGACATGAAATACATTTCTGGCTCTATTTTCAGCTACCTCCTTTTCAAAGCTTTTAAAAAGAGAACTTTATTGTTACTACATTCATTAGGAAGTTAAACCATTTCTGAATATGACTACCAGAGCCCCAAGAAGTGGAGAGTAATACAGTCATCAACCCCAAATTTTAATTTTTAAAAAAGTGTTTAACATTATTAGGTAATACATGAATAAATTTGTAGTGTATAACATTCAGGAATACGGAAACATAAATGTGAGAGTTCTTCATTTTCGTTTTGACCCCCACTCCTCTCATAGGGTAAACACCATCAGTAGTTTGGATATCATCCTTCTTAGTCTCTTTTCTGTACATTTAAACATACAAGCATGTATACACTTTAATGTGAACTTCCTTTCTACATTTTAATCTTTTTTTTTTTTTTTTCATTTTCATTCCTACTAGTCCAGGCTCTGGTTATCACGCTCCTGGGTTACCATAGTAACCCCCATTAGGTCTCCCTGCCTATAGCCATGTCCTTTTCAAATCCATTTTCTAAAAATATTTTATTTATTTATTTTTAGAGAGAGGGTAAGGGAAGGAGAATGAGAGGGAGAGAAACATCAATGTGTGGTTGCCTTTCACATACCCCCTATTAGGGGCTCGACCTGGCCTGCAGCCCAGGCATGTGTCTCGACTGGGAATCAAACCCATGATCCTCTGGTTCGCAAGCCTGTGCTCAGTCCTCTGAGCCACACCAGCCAGGGCTCAAATCCATTTTCAAAATCACGGCTCAAATCCATTTTCAAAATCAGGTTATCACCCTGCTTCAAACCTTCAGTGCCATTATATCCAGCATGCTATAGGATAAATTCTAAGGCTCTTGACACAGTATGTGAGCCCTTGGAGACTGATTCTTTCCTTTCTGCTTTCATCCTGAGCAGCTTCCTTCCTCAAACTCTGTATTCCATCAGTGGTGAACCTCCTCTAGTTTTATTCCCACATATTGTTATGTCTATGTCATTTCGCTTTTTAAAAAGATTTTATTTATTTATTTTTAGAGAGGGAAGGGAGGGAGAAAGAGAGGCATCAATGTGTGGTTGCTGGGGGCTGTGTGGCCTGCAACCCAGGCATGTGCCCTGACTGGGAATCGAACCTGTGACACTTTGGTTTGCAGCCCGCACTCAATCCACTGAGCTACACCAGCCAGGGCTGCTTTTTTTTTTTTTTTAATTCTCATTCAAGGATAGGTTTTGATTTTAGAAAGAGAAGAAGGGAGAGAGACAGACAGACAGACAGAGACAGAGAGAAACATCAGTGTGAGAGAGAAACATCGATCAGTTGCCTCCCGTATGTGCCCAAACTGGGGTTTGAATCTGCAGCCTAGGTGTGTGCCCTGATTGGGAACTGAACCCACAGCCTTTTGGTGTTGCTTCAGCCAACTGGCCAGGGCTGTCACTTGGCTTTTTGTTCATAGTTCCTCTTCTCTTGAGATGTTCTCCATCCCTTCTTTTCCTCTTAGCCTGGTTAGCACCTATGAATCCTTTTACCATGGTGGTTAAGAGCCTGGGCCCTAGGGTTAGCATTTTGGATTATTCCACTTAATTTCTTTAGAATCACAGTATTTAACTTCTGTAAACTTTTGTCATCTATGAAATTGGAATAATTTCTACCTCAAAGAGTTATTTGAGGATGAAATGAGGTGATAGATATATAAAGTGCTAGCACAGTATCAGTTTAAAAAGAAAAAAACAACTTGGCATCCTGTCTTTCAGTAAGGCTCGGCCAGGAAAATACTGATGTACCTCTCTATTGTGCATACCTCTAATACCATAATTACATACTGTGTTTAAACTGTTTGTGAATGGGCCTCTTTGATTGGACTTTAAACTCCTTAAAATCTAGGACTATGTTTGTCTTTGTGTTACTGGTACCAAGTACATGTGGAGATTTAGTAAATTTTAAAAAATTAAGTATTTATTTTTAGACAGAAGGGAAGGGAGGGAGAAAGAGAGGGAGAAAAATAATGATGTGAGAGAGAAACATCAACTCATTGCCTCTCACATGCCCCCAACTGGGTACCTGGCCTGCAACCCATGTATGTGCTCTGACCTGGAATCAAACCAGTGACCTTTCATTTTGCAGGATAACACCCAGCCCACTGAGCCACACCAGTCAAGGCAAGATTTAGTAAATATATTTTTTAAAGATTTTATTTATTTTTGGAGAGAGAGGAAAGGAAGGAGAAAGAGAAGGAGAGAAACATCAATATGTGGTTTCCTCTTGCATGCTCCCTACTGGGGACGTGGCCCACAACCCAGGCATGTGCTGGTTAGATTGGGAATCTAACCAGCAACCCTTTGGTTCACAGGTTGGCACTCAGTCCACTGAGCCACACCTGCCAGGGCAAGATTTAGTAAATATTTCTTGAACATATGAACAGAGTTTGAAAGAGCTATTCATTTTCAGACAATACATTATCTTTTACACAGGAAGTTCTTTTTAAAAAATTTTTAAAAGATTTTATTTATTTATTTTTAGAGAGGGGAAGGGAGAGAGAAAGACAGGGAGAGAAACATCAATGTGTGGTTGCCTCTTACGCACCCTCCACTGGGGACCCAGCCTGCGTGTGCCCTGACTGGGAATTGAACAGGCAACCCTTTGGTTCACAGGCTGGCACTCAATCCACTGAGCTACACCAGCCAGGAAGCACAGAAACTTCTTATCAATATATGTGCGCATCCTCTGTTCAGGTGAGAATTTTTGCTTTCCTTTCTGTTTTGCAAGTAGTAAAGTCTTTTTTAAAAATATATTTTATTGATTATGCTATTACAATTGCCACATTTTCCCCCTTTATTCCCCTCCACCCTGCACACCCCCTCCCACCCACATTCCTCCCCTTTAGTTCATGTCCATAAGTTATTTGGCTTCTACATTTCCTATACTATTCTTAACCTTCCCCTGTCTATTTTCTACCTACCACGTATGCTACTTATTCTCTGTACCTTCCCCCCACTCTCCCCCCGTCACTCCCCTGCTGATAACCCTCCATGTGATCTCCATTTCTGTGATTCTGTTCCTGTTCTAATTTGCTTAGCTTTTTGTTTTTGTTTTTGTTTTTTAGGTTCGGTTGTTAATAGCTGTGAGTTTGTTGTTATTTTACTGTTCATATTTATGATCTTCTTTTTCTTAGATAAGTCCCTTTAACATTTCATATAATACGGGCTGGGTGATGATGAACTCCTTTGACTTGACCTTATCTGGGAAGCACTTTATCTGCCCTCCCATTCTAAATGATAGCTTTGCTGGATAGAGGAATCTTGGATGTAGGTCCTTGCCTTTCATGACTTGGAATACTTCTTTCCAGGCCCTTCTTGCCTGTAAGGTTTTTCTTGAGAAATCAGTTGATAGTCTAATGGGAACTCCTCTGTAGGTAACTCTCTTTTTCTCTTGCTGCCTTTAAGATTCTCTCCTTATCTTTAATCTTGGCTAATGTAATTATGATGTGCCTTGATGTGTTCCTCCTTGGGTACAACTTCTTTTTGGGACTCTCTGAGCTTCCTGAAAGTCTGTTTCCTTTGCCAGATTGGGGAAGTTCTCCATTATTTTTTCAAATAAGTTTTCAGTTTTTTGGTCTTTTCTCCTGGCACCCCTATGATTTGGATGTTGGACTGCTTAAAGATGTCCTGGAATGGCTCAGTGGATTGAGCGCCGGCCTGCAAACCAAAGGGTTGCCAGTTCGATTCCCAGTCAGGGCACATGCCTGGGTTGTGGGCCAGGTCCCCAGGTGGAGGGGGGGGGTGGTGAGAGACACCCACACATTGATGTTTCCCTCCCTCTCTTTCTCTCTCCCTTCCTGTCTCTAAAAATAAATTTTTTAAAAAATCTTTAAAAAAAGATGTCCTGGAGTTTCCTAAGCCTCTCATTTTTTTGAATTCCTGTTTCTTCATTCTGTTCTGGTTGAATGTTTCTTCCTTCTGCTCTAAACTGTTGATTTGAGTCCTGGTTTCCTTCTTGTCACTATTGGTTCCCTGTAGATTTTTCTTTATTTCACATAATGCAACCTTCATTGTTGCCTGGGTCTTTTTTATGCTGTTGAAGTACCCAGTGAGTTTTAGAGCATCTTGATAACCAGTGTTTTGAACTGTGCATCCGATAGGTTGACTCTCTCTTCATCATTTAGTTGTATTTTTGCTGGAGCTTTAAACTGTTCTTTCATTTGGGCCTTTTTTTTCCAGGGGTAAGGGTGTCTGGGCGCACCTGTTACATAGTAAGGGACAGAGCCTTAGGTGTCCCCCAGGGCAGGGCAACCCACTTGGCTGCGTTGTGATGCTGTCTGTGGGGGAGGGGTCCGAGAGGGAACAATGGTGCTTGCTGAGCTCCAGCCGGCTTTCAGTCACTTCCCCCACTATCCACAATCAAATTGGGCCCTTCTGGTGCTGATTCCCTGGTAGGTGGGCTTGTGTATGTTTTAGGACCCTGTGGGTCTCTCCAGTGAACTCTCCTGTGAGGCTGGGAGTTTCTCCTGCTACCTGCTCAACCCCCACAGGTGTTTTCAGTCAGAGGCTTTGAGGCTTTACTTCCCTGCACTGGAGCCCTGGGTTGTGCATTCTGTCTCATTCCCCAGTTGTTGCTCCTGGTTTATCGTCACATGAATGTGGAACTACCTGGTTCGCCAGCCGCTGCCTTGCTGCAAGCCCTCTCTGCCCAGCTGGCTCAGCCCCTCCTACCATTCTGGACGAATGTTTCTTCTTTAACTCCTTGATTGTTGGACTTCCATACAGTTTGATTTTCTGTCAGTTCTGGTTGTTTTTTGTTTTTAAATTTGTTATTATCCTTATGTTGGCTGTGTGAAGAGGCACATTGTGTCTACCTATGCCTTCATCTTGGCTGGAAGTCTGCAAGTAGTAAAGTCTTAAAATAGTAATTACATGTACGCATTTCCACCACATTTAGCAGTGATGCCCAAGATGAAAATCAAGAGAAGCCATGGGAAATTGGCAATCTTAAGGATTAGATCATTTTTCCATGTTTATTTCATATTCTTGTATTTATAGAATTTGGTTTGAGGACTGTCATTGAAAGGCCTTCATATTCATGGACAGTTTGAGAACTGGATTTTTCCAAAGTATTTTTCCAAGAGCTATATTGATAAGGTAATGCTTGACAATCCAATTACTTTCCCTGTACCCCCACACTCTGAAGTTACAATAGTTCTTTGAGTGCTTACATGTGACAGACAACAACCCTTTAGTATGTTAAGTACTTTATTCAAGCTTCCAAAGCCGAAAAGTGGGGGAGCTGGGATTTAACTATAATTGTTCAGTGCTCATTTTCTTTCCATTACACCATACTGCTTTCCTAAATAAACTGAAAATAATTTTAGTTTGTGTTCTTAGGTTTTCTTTTTTTAACCCTCATCTGAGGATATGTTTATTGATTTTAGAGAGAGAGGAAGGGGGAAGAGGGGAAAGAAAGACAGATATCAATGGGTTGCCTCCTGCACACACCCCGATGGGGGATTGAAGCCGCCACCTAGGTATGTGCCCTGAGCTGGAATGGAACTTGCATCCTTGGTTAGGACGATGCTCTAACCAAGTGGACCACCTGGCCAGGGTGAGTTTATAGTTTTTAATAGTTTTAGTTACTTGGTGACTAAACATTTTAATAACTAATAGAAACCTTTATGGTAAGATATTTAGGTAATGTTTAAAGAGATAAAAGTTTTGCCCTGACTGTAATGGCTCAGTTGGTGGGGTGTTGCCCTGTAAGGTATAAGGTGGCTGGTTTGATTCCCAGTCAGAATTGGAAATTGCCTGGGTTGTGGGTTTGGTCCTCTGTTGGGATGAGTACGAGAGGTCACCAGTCAGTGTTTCTCTCTCACATTAATGTTTCTCTCCCTCTCTTTCTCCCTTCCTCTTTCTAAAAATAAATAATAAAATCTTTTTAAAAAAATAAAGAGATACAGATTTTTTTGAATTTCAAGTTTTAATTCAAATAGTATTTCTTTAAGGTATGTACATTTTATTTTTAATTCGAACCACCACTGGGAGGATTTATTTGTCATCTCAGTGTTCTTAGACTTTAGCACACTTGTTTATTCTTTTCCCTGTTGCATAATCCCAATGCATTGTATTGGTCTGGAGGCAGGAATGTTGCAGATGTTTTTTCTTTCAAACCTCAGATTTGCTCTGGGGTTTAGAATTAACCTTTAGAATGTATTGGATTTATCCCCCATATGCCAGAGATCTGTAAGTTTCTTTTTACGTGAGCTGAAGTTTTCAGGCGATTGAGTAACAGATGTTTTCCTTAAAAGCAGTTAATGATCAGAGAAAAAGACTTCAGTGTGGAAATACTTTAGGTTTCTCCTGTAATATGATCAGCACATACTTTCTTCTCTTGTAGTTCAATTGTTCATATTGTTGGAAGGGAGGAAATAACTAAACTGGTAATTAAAACATTATATATCCTGTTATTTTTTTCCCCACACAGTAAACTGAAAAGGATTTGGACTGACTAGGGCACTCCATTCTGTGAAACTCACATTGTTTGCGTACTGTTGGCAGGCCTCGTTAGGGGGTAAATTTGCTTTTTCTGTGTGTTTGCCAGTAATGATTCCTGTCTTTTTACCGGAACTTGCCATTTGGATTTTCTCCTTCCTAAACTGGCTGGCCCTAAACAGTCAGACCTTTAGTTATTTTTTCTGCTCTTGTTTTTTTCCCCCCTGTTATTCTTAGGTTTTCAAGTATTTAATAAGCTGAGGATATTGGTCACTGAGATATTGCCTGGTCAGGGTTCGGCATTGTGCCCAAATTTGTTGGGCCTCACAGGGCCCAGAGTTCTCTGTGCTCTAACAAATGAGCTACAGTTCTCAAGAGATCAGTGGAGCTTGTTTGTTATCCTGTATTCTCATCCAGAGGAAGTAGATCTTTGAGAATGTCTCAGGAAGGGTAAGTGAGTTTATTCTTTCTCCCTCATTTTTCTCAGCAAAGAGGTGTCCTAGTCATCTGAGTGAATTGGAGGATTAATAAGCAGTGCTACCAGTCAGAGTGGAGGGAGAGGGAGAGATTGAAAGTTAGCTGAAAGCTTACATTGTTAGTATTTCACATGTAATATGCTGTGAAGTTACTATTGCTATTTTGAAAAACAGCATTGAGGGTGGATAATCTTAATAGGAATTTAGTGAGTTTAAACATCCTTTTTACTTGGCGGTAAACTCCTTTTGTTTTTTTGGTAGAAAGTATTTATGAAGATTGGAAGCAGTCAGGGGTGTCTTACCAAAGAGTTTTACAAAGAAGTGAGTGAAGTTTAAACTTTCTAAAGGTACTATTTTAAAATAAATAGTACCTTTAGAAAATGGGGGAGAGAGGAAGAAAATACTGTGAAAGATTGAGTGAACAACCTATGATTTTGTATCCTTCTGGGCATTGTAGGCAAAAAATAAATTTTTTTGAACCATCTATTCATCTTTACTATGTAAAATAGTTCTGTGGTTTTTTGTTGTTTTTTTACTGTTTAAATATCTCTCATGCTTCAGAATCTGAACTGTTGCTGATTTTCTTTTTGTGACCACTATAATAGGTGACATGTAAGTTAATGTCTGCATACTGTTGATTATCTCATTTTTAGCCTTCAAGCATAACTAGACTTCAGAGAGGCATTTCCCGTGATTAAGTAAGACATCTCTCTCAAACTGTCTCTAAAAATACAGGAAAATTTTGATTTTGTGGAAGCTCTTAGAATTTCCTCATTC